GCTCTGCCTCCCCTAACATTTGTTTTAAAATGTCAATTTCAAATTCTTTCTCTCCCTTCTTCCCCTCCCTCCTTCATTGAGAAGGCAAGTAATTTGATATACATTATACATGTGTAGTCATGCAAAACATATTTCCACATTAGTCATGTGGTGAAAGAAAACACAGACCCCCTCCCCCTCCAAAACAACCAAGAAAAATAGAGGAAAAGTATGCTTCAATCTGTAGTCAGACTCCATCAGTTCTTTCTCTGGGGATGGATAGCATTTTTCATCTTAAGTCTTTCAGAATTGTCTTGGATCATTGTACTGCTGAAAATAGCTAAGTCATTCACATTTGATCATTATACAATATTGCTATTACTATATACAATGTTTTCCAGATGCAGTTCTAGGCAGTGCTCATTATTTAAACTAAAAAGCCATAACATGAAAAATAATTGAAAGCATTTTTACAAATATCTTTTGCAATCCCAATATAAAAATTTAAAATTCCAAAGACTTTAAGGAATATAAGGATAATTAAGGTAAAATTAATAATAAATGACCTTAGATGAAGGCGTTTGACTTGCGAAAAATGATTTCTCTTGGTAATCCATGTTTGGGAGACTTAGAGTTCCACCTTGCAGGCCTTCTGTCCAAATTTGTTCAGAAGGACATCTCTGATAATGAGATTGCATTGAATCTTCTTATCTTGGTCAGACTCCAACCCAGGCCTGAATTGATTTCATCCTATTCAGGTTTGTGTGGAGACAGACTTCCAAGACTAGGGGTGGTATTTCCTTTGATGGCGGGAGATATGGGTATATCAGCCCCTGTGGACTGAGTGATCTAAGAAACCCACTCATCTCCTAGTATGTTGACCAATCATGATTGATTGGCACTCCCTTGGGAACACTTACTCTTTGAAGGGCATATAACGCTATACCCCAAAATCCCAAACCGAGCCAGTTCTGAACTGGCCTTCTTAGGGGGGCCCAGTTTTGGACTGAACTTCCATGCAATACATGTCAAGCCCCTTTGAGAAATTATACTGTGGACACTTGGACCCCATTTTCATTTGTCTCTTTCTTAAAGCAGACTCTGTTTCAAATTGGGGTTCATGGAGTTCATGGTTCACAGACTAGATTAGGGATGTTTAACCTAGGGTTTGTAAAGTTATTAATATGTATGTATACATGAACATATATGTATGTATTTTGATAGATGCATTTCAATATAACCGGTTTCCTTGGTAATAATTTATTTTTTATTTATAAATTTAAGTATGTTCTTCTGAGAAGAGGTCCAAAGGCTTCCCCAGATGGCTGCCAATGACAGGGGGCCAGGACACAAACAGGACTAGAATAGATGATCTTTAAAGGCTCCTTTCTACCTCTTGAAAATCAGTAAAAATGTGATTTAGGTAAAAATCTGATTTGACTTAAAACTATATGTTTAGATTTAATTATTTTTATCATACGGATGTGTAGCATTAGTTTTCCTTTTATGATTTTTTTTTAAAAAACTTGACTTGTCACTATGTTGGGAAAGGAAATTCCTAAGAAGAAACTCTTCTCAATGTGAATCAATACTTTTTGGCAGCTTCTATAGTCTTTGGGGGTTGCCTGAGATACAGACAGGGTAACTGTCTTGCCCACAGGCACAGAGTTTGACTCTTGTCAGAAGGAGAACTCAAACCCAGGTCTTTCTGACTCCAAGGTTGACTTTCTATCCACTACATCATACCATCTCTTAGGTTTATTTAACAGCAACAAAAAACATTTCCTCATTTGGGTTATCATCATTATGGTATATATAAATCAGGCTAAACTAAGTGACAGTAGTGCCCTATTCTGATATGCCTGTACATAGAATATGTATATGTTACATGCACATACATGTGTACATGCACACAGATAGATTTATACAAATATATGCACATTTATGCTTACATATAACCACATCCATGAATGACATGTAAGCATACACACATATCCAGGGCACATCCCCCAAACTGTGCTGAGTATATGCCATCAATAAAACTGCCAGTGATAACCTTAATATACTCATTGAAAAGTGTGTAGATGATGTAAGGGTCTGAAATATAATGACCCCTTTTTGACCGGGTAGCATCTGCTGGCCAGACATGTGCACACCCCTAGCAATCTTCATGGATGGACTCTGTGACTGCACTCTTGTCTCCATGAGATGGAGCACATACAGATATTTCCTCTTTTGAAAATGAGAGCTGTACAGGGACCATAAACACAGTTTGAATTTTCTATGTAATTACCTCTGTTGCCAGAATATATTTTAGAGTTTGAATAACTACATATTTGGGGATGGAGATACTGTATGTGAAGCAAGTAGAGAGGCAGGAAAATGGCATTCGTGCCTTTTGAACTGTTATGTGGCCACCGACCCTGTTAATCTCCTCTGGCTCCTATGACACTGTATTATGGGGGGGGGGTCTTACTTTGTTTCCTTGGCTAATTGCTCTTCCTAAATGCAGCAATCCCCCAAGGTTCTGTTCTCAGCGTTCTTCTTTCATCACCCTCTCCTTTAGCTATTTCCTTTGACTATTCCTTTATGCCCCACGTCCAGTCCAAAAAAAAAAAAAAGAGCTCATCACTACTTGGTGGCTTCCGGACTCTTCTGCCAGGGGATTCAAGTCTTCCTATGATTGGGCTCCAACCTGGCTTTTCAGTCTTATCCATACACCGATGAGCCAGGGCAGACAGTTCACCATTCAGTTACTTTACCATACCAAACCCTTTCATGCTGCAGTGCCCGGGGGTCACATCTCAGCCATTCTACCAGCTGATCCTTGCGTGGCACTATGCAGGTCATTTATTTCTGTGGGTCATTTTTTCCATCTGTAAAATGAAGGAGTTTCACACCATGACCTCTGAGGTCCTTTCTAGCGGTAAGAATATGACCCTTCAACTTTGCTCAGGTTGTTCCCTCTACCTGGAGAGTCTTCCTCACAATCTCAGTTTATCAAAATTCTACCCATTTTTTAAGCCCCTGCCCCAAGGCACCCCCTTCAATGGAGCCTTCCTTAATCATGTCAGAGAGAAATGACCAAGCTTGACTTTGAACTTTGATAGCATTCTGTTTGTAGCTTGTTTATGATGTGTATTACATACTACCTGGCATTATCAGAATTTCTGTGCCCGTTTGATCTCTTCTACTCGATTTTAAGCTGCCTGGGGGCAGGCACCATGTCTTAGCATAGAATCCTAGGTCCAGGGCAGAGGGGTCAAACACATGGCCCAGTAAATCTTGCAACACTCCAGAGTTCAGCCTGAATCAGATTAAAATGTAATTGGGAAACGCTTAACAGAATAAATACAAATACAATAGAAAATAGATAATGTTCATATATGGGTTTTTAAGTCAATATGTGGCCTACAAGATTCTTATGAACTATTTAATGGCCTCCATTTCTATTTGAGTTAAACACCACTGGTCTATAGTAAGGAAGGAACTCAGAGGCAATCTACCTAACCCTCTCATCTTACAAAGAAATTGAAGCCTAAGGAGGACAAGTGACTTCCCCAAGGTCACAGGGCTGGTGAACATCAGAGGCAGGATTTGAACCCAGGTCCTGAGCCACTGCTTCCCTGAGGCATTCATTTTCATATCCCTCATAGTACCCACTGCAGTGCTTCCTGCATAAAGAACACTCAGTTATTTGCTGAATGGATAAGCTGTCAATGCAACAGTAGTCATCAAAAAGTCAATTAAAGGGACAAAGAAAAGTGGGCCAGAATTGACTCTTCAATATGGTGGCTGTCCCTCAGCTCCCACAATAAAACTGTATTCTGTTACTTTTTCCTACAATGAAGTTCTGTACTGATGTACTGTCTTACTGTTTTTATATATTAAAAATATCCCAACAGAATATCCACATGCATCATCTGCAGATGGATGCATCTTTTCTTGCCAAGCTGCACAAATTACGTAATTTCTAAGTGATCAGCAATACATATGACAGAAGTCGAAAAACAGAGCTGTCCTGAAGCACATGTTGTCTTTAGTAATTCTACTTTATTGCTGAGTGAGCAAAAACACCTCTGAATTAAAAACATCTACATGATAATTCAGAAAGAAGGAAAAAGAGAAAAATTAGTCACCAGCATGAGAAAGCACTACCTTAGCAGCGATGTTTAACAAACTATAACCTTGTATTTTAAACTAAGTCTCCATGTTTCCCATGATGTAATCTCAATATACTGGAATTATCCTGGTAAATTTCTTTCACCTTAAAGCCACAAGCATATATGTGAATATTTTTAACCCACAGTTCAGGAAGGCAATACTAAACAACATTTGACAACACTAAATTATCACAAATAAAAGTCCTTCCTTCTAACATGGGTAAAAATCTAGGCTATTTTAGTCTAGGTACTGCTCAAAGCATAGAGGCATTTATGTATCAGTCCTCATTTCAAATGCCACCCATATCAGCAGTACATAAAGGTATTACAAACCAATGGCTATTCAGAAACTTATCTGGAAAGAGTTGTTGGTCTCCTCTAAACAAAACCACAGAGAGCAGGTCATCTCAAACAAGAGCATAGTTACAAAATGTGAATGCACGATGAACTTGCTTTTGAAGTTGTGAGATGATTATGATCGGGCATGGTTACAATAGTTAGGAACAAAAGCAATGTAAAGTTGCATTATTTCTTTGCCTGTTTAGAAAAAGAAAACTAGAATTCCTGGCTATGTGCTCACAACAAAAGACTTTCCATCAAGTGTAAATCTGATAACACTGCACTCTCAATTAAATGGGTTGTGCATCTGAGAATTATATTTCCTGGATTTTCAGGGCTAAAACAAGAACAGCAGAAAAAAAATTGGCATTCCAAAATAAACCCATTATCCTAGGCCTGCTATTTGTTGTTCTGTCGCTTCAGTTGTGTCTGACTCTTCATGACTCCATTTGGGGCTTCCTTGGCAAAGATACTGGAGCAGTTTGCCATTTCCTTCTGCAATTTTACAGATGAGGAAACAGAGGTAAAGAGGGTAAAGTGGCTTGCCCAGGGTCACACCGCTAGTAAGTGTCTGAGGCTGGATTTGAACTCATGAGGATAAGTCTTCCTGACTTCAGGTTTTGCACTCTGTGCATAATGGCACTACCTAGCTGCCCTGTGCTGCTATTTCAAGATGGCAGAATAAAAGTTTTTGCAAAGATTCATGTATGATTTGGATTTACTGATCTGGTAAGTCCATTCTAACTCTTGAGATACTGTGAGAAATGATTTGCATCCAACTCCACCTTAGTGCAGACCCTTATCACCCTAGACTACAGCAGTAGCCTTCTAGCTGGTCTCCCTGCCTCAAGTCTCTCCACTGAGGTCCATCCCACCACACAGCTGGCAGAGTGATTTTCCTTAAGCACAAATCTAATCTCGTCATTTCCTTCCTCCACAAACTCCAATGGCTTCCTATTACCTCTAGGATAAAATATAAAATTCTGTGTGTTTTTAAAAACCTTTTACAACCTCACTTCAACTGATCTTTCCAGCCTCATTATATACTGCTCTGCTTCCTGAACCCTCTGGTCCTGATACTAGCCTTCTCTAACTCTCCACTCCACCTACCATCTCCATGTCTTTGCACCAATAGTTTCCCATGTCTAGAATGCACTCCTTCATCATCTTTAACTCTTAGAATTCCTGGGGCACCACTTCATTCAAGAGACTTTTTCTGATGTCCACTTCTTAGTGATCTCTTGTGGATAGTCTGCATGTATTTTTCAGTGAATATGATGAATCCCAATAGAACAAAAGCTCTTTGAGAGCCAGAGTTTATTGTTTCCCTTTTTTGTATTTGTATCCCCAGGGCCAAGAAATACCACATGCACACACACCAGCACGTATGTTTGTACAGTTTTGTCTTAAAAGCCTTCTTTCACAATTGTAAGAATATATGAATACTTCTCCTTGTCTCCTGCCCTTGAATGGGGGATGTCTTCTCACTTTGTCTACCTCTCCTTGAACTGTGAAAGATGCTACAGAATGTTGTTTATTGACTGGCTGTGACCCCAAATGTTATATAACAAAATTTGTCCTCTGGGAAGTTGAATTCAGCTATTTCCTTAGCATGCTAGTAAATTTCTTTGCATTTAATTTGGCTTTCCTGTATTTGAACTGCAGTCACTGGGCCCCCACTGAGGGTCTGACTCTCTTAAGAAGTTATATTCCTTTTGGTTGACAGAATTTCCTGCAATTTGGTGTCAGAAATGGGGTAACTGAGACTCTCTCTGAGCTAGTGAAATGATTAGACACCTGGGATAGCTGGAGCACACATAAGGCAAACATTTTGCCTATGTTAATCTCCTCAAGGTGGTGTGTATATTCTCCTACTCATTGGACATGAATCATTTTCCTCAAATTTCTTTTGTCTGAAGGAGAGCAAAGTGAAACACATATAAAAAGTGATCGAGGCTTCTGGAGTTCTCAGCCCATAGATGGTAAGAGGGTAGGACAACTGGTCAGAAGTAAATTACTTGGTTCCCTTTGCTGGCATTGACTGCAGGACTCTATTGCATTGCCCATACTCAGATCCAGGTTACAGTGAGGAGGAGCACTAACACATTAGAGCCTGTGGCCACAAAGTCATAGTTCCAAGGCAAAAAAGAATAATTATGGTCACTCATACACCAGAGCACAGGCCAGGAGAGTAGTAAACACACCTCTCCTTAGATCATGCCACCTTGGAAGAAATGAAAGCTTACAGACCCCTAGAACTAGCTCTGAAAACTGCTGCACAAAAACCTAAAGCTTGGGACAGTGCTCCCTCCACCCCAGGAGCAGAGCCCAACTTTAATATGAAGTTGAAAGTCAAGAAATAAGCTGGAAAAATGAGCAAACAATAAAAAAGATTCTGGCTATAGAAATTTACTACTGTGATGGGGAAGATCAAAACACAAACTCAGACTGGTACATCAAAAGCCTCCAAGAAAAATGTGAATTGGTCTCAGGCCACGGAAGAGTTCAAAAAGGATTTTAAAAATTAAATAAGAGAGGTAGAGGGAAAATTGGGAAAAGAAATGAGAGTGATGCAAGAAAATCATGAAAAAAGTCAACAGCTTGGTAAAGGAGGCATAAAAATTCTCCAAAGAGAACTCCTTAAAAAGCAGAATTGACCAAATGAAAAAGGAGATACAAAAACTACTGAAGAAAATAACTCCTTAAAAATTACAATTGGGCAAGTAGAAGCTAATGACTCCATGAGACATCAAGAAGCAATAAAATGAAGTAAGAAGAATGAAAAAATAGAAGAAAATGTGAAATATCTCATTGGAAAAACAACTGACCTGGAAAATAGATCTATGAGAGATAATTTAAGAATTACTGGACTACCTGAAAGCCATGATCAAAAAAAGAGCCTGGATATCATCTTTCAAGAAATTATCAAGGAAAACTGCCCTGATATTCTAGAACTAGAGGATAAAATAGAAATTGAAAGAATCCATTGATCACTTCCTGAAAGAGATCCCAAAATGAAAATTCCCAGGAATATTATAGCCAAATTCCAGAGCTCCCAGGTCAAGGAAAAAATACTGCAAGGAGCCAGAAAAAAAAATGATTCAAATATTGTGGAGCCACAGTCAGGATAATACAAGATTTGGCAGCTTCTACATTAAAGAAGCAGAGGGCTTGGAATATGATACTCCAGAGGGCAAAGGAGCTAGGATTACAACCAAGAATTACCTACCCAGAAGAACTTTGAGGGGGAAAATGCATATTCAATAAAAGAGAAGACTTTCAAACATTTCTGATGAAAAGACCAGAACTAGAGAATCTGACTTCCATACAAGACTCAAGAGAAGCATAAAAGGTAAATAGGAAAGACAAATTAT